GGTAATACCGTTAACGCCGGTAATACCGTTAACGCCGGTAATACCGTTAACGCCGGTAATACCGTTAACGCCGGTAATACCGTTAACGCCGGTAATACCGTTAACGCCGGTAATGTGTTTCTTCCAACGGTGTTTGTTTCTCTCAGCGTTGTTTCTCTCCCCTCAGCGAGGGGAATGTTGTGCGATGGGCATTTCAATTTTCTGTGAAAGCATATACCGTTGGTTCTCGCTCTATTGCCGTTTTCTCCACTTTGTTTTCTTGATTTGGTTCTCGCTCTATTGCCGTTTTCTCCACTTTGTTTTCTTGATTTGGTTCTCGCTCTTTTGCCGTTTTCTCCACTTTGTTTTCTTGATTTGTTTCTCGATCTATTGTCGTTTTCTCCACTTTGTTTTCTTGATTTGATGTGGTGGAAACGACAGTTTTCTCTCGTGCAGTCCTCTCTGTTCACGATGCTCCAGCACAGCGTAGGATGATAGAAGGGGCAATCCTTACCTTTTTTGCACCCTCTGGGATGACCGCTTCCATAATCAAAGAATTTATAACTTCGACCTCATGTACAGCGGGGCCCACGTCCCCCTTAACATGTCCCCTCCCCCCACAGGGCCCCACACCATCGACCTCATGTACAGCGGGGCCCACATCCCCCTTAACATGTCCCCTCCCCCGCAGGGCCCCACACCATCGACCTCATGTACAGTGGGGCCCACACCCCCCTTAACATGTCCCCTCTCCCCGCAGGGCCCCACACCATCGACCTCATGTACAGCGGGGCCCACATCCCCGGGTCCCCGTTCACGGTGAACGTCCGCCGCGGGTCCGACGCCAGCAAATGTCGAGCCTGGGGCCCGGGCATAGAAGGAGGAAAAGTGGGTCAACCGAACGCCTTCACCGTCGAGACCAAAGGTGGGTCATGGGACCAAAGGTGGGTCATGGGACCAAAGGTGTGTCATGAGGCCAAAGGTGGGTCATGGGGCCAAAGATGGGTCATGGGGCCAAAGGTGGGTCATGGGACCAAAGGTGGGTCATGGGACCAAAGGTGGGTCATGGGACCAAAGGTGGGTCATGGGACCAAAGGTGGGTCATGGGACCAAAGGTGGGTCATG